TTTATAACATAACAATTAGGATGACCAAATACATGTGATAATGCACTAAAAGCCTCAATCAGGTAGTGGTTTATAACTTAAAACATAGATATGACAAAACTACTTTATTTATTATCTTTACTTTATTTAGTATTTAATACATTTATGAATACAACTATATAGATGGATTTAGATTCCCTCGTCAGGATATTCGTCCATACCAAGTTATTCAATGTACATCCAGATACTAAATCTGATTAGTCAGTCTGATACGCAATTTAAACCTTTGCCAGACGATTAAACGCTTGTATATGGTCACTCTAAATATTTATTAACTACAAGCTTTCGTTTTTGTACAAACTACAAAAGCGAGAAGTAAAACCATCTTGAGAACAACACTAACTAGACAAATAAGTGCGATGTCCAGAACAATAGTGATACAATAAATGTTTTGTTTGAAAAAATTGTAATTTTTTCGACTATTTGACAGATGACTTTTGACTTCTGACATCTCACTTTACCAGATAACATGGAGAATGAAGTATACGAACTAATATATAAAGATTAAAGACCAATATAAAAAAATGCACAAACTTTAAAATAAGAATATTATCGAAATAGACTTCAAAACATTATAACTACTTCGACTAATATCCCATATTCCCACTCAAAATTTACTCCATTCCATAACAAATCATAATCAAAGACATAATATTCACAGTATATTATCGCATGAAAAGCACAGCACAAACTCGTAAAGCTAGGTTTCTTTCTTACAGAGGCAACCCCATGGACGTCACAGGAAGAAAAACTGCCGTCTAAGCCTCGAAACCAACAACAGTCTTTAGAATTGACCATTTCCCCTGACTCAAGGCTATTAAAACCTAAGTCAGACCTCCAGTTTTATCTTTTACGACAAAAACCTCATGTGCATATTAAAAATAATCAATTTCAATTTTCCAATTTCAATAATAAACATTTAGTTGGAACGCCAAGCTTTTTTCAATGGCAATGAGGTAAGTAATGTATATTTCCTGTACTATAAATTTTGTTAGTAGAAATTAGTGTACTGTACGTAAAATATTAAATTGATTGGAGTAGTTCATGAGATTAGAACACACTTTGTCTAACACTAAATTCAATTTTAGAAGGTATTTGACTAAATGTCATAGCCGATATACTAATCATACTAATAGTGTTAATATAAATTAAATGTTTACTGTGTACACGCATATCCAAATCGAATTACACGCTAAGAAATGATTGGTACTCGCTAGTATAAACACTTTGTGCGCGTTTATTTGCGTTTGAGGTGATGGTCTAAGATCCCGCTATACAACGACCTTCACCGAGATGCTTATTTAATGAAACTTATTTTATATATAATTTATTATGTCAATAAATATAATCCATATGGGTTGCCTAGCAAATTTCAGTCCAGAGTATGTTTAATTAATTTAAAAAAAAAATATTTTTTTAAACATTTCACCGGTATGATTATTAGATAAATTCTATACCAATCGAACGTATGAAGCCCATAGAATATGCAAACGTTAGGTTGTTTTTAATCAATTAATTATTTATGTGTATATTTTTTATGTGACACTAAAGTATATATACATCTTTAGTATAAAAGAAGGTTATAGTGATACATATACGTAGTCGGTCCCAAAGTTCTGTCATAAATGGAAATAATGATAAAAACAAAAGTACTGATCAGTTTGTAATGAGTGATATATCAATTCTTAGTAAATTAATAAAGGAATAAAAAAAGCATAAAAATATTCGAAATAACCTCCCTCATTTTTAATATAGGCCCTTAAGCGTCGCGGCCAGTTGTCTATCGCAGCACGCACCATATTCGTGTCCATTTCAGTCACTGGTTTTTTTAAAGATGACTTCAGATTCTCCAAATTTTCATGAGGTTTATCACAGACCTTCCTCTCTAAGCCTTGTCATAATTTCTGGTCCAAAGGATTAAGGTCCGGACTGGAGGAAGGCCAATCCTCATGTCTAATTAAGACGATGTTTTGACGCTCAAACCAGGCTTTAGTGGTCTTGGCTTTGTATGCAGACGCAGAGTCCTGCTGGAACACGAAGTGATGTCCCGCAAATAGGGTGCTGGACATGTCTTTGACAAGGCGATACAAAACCGTCTCTTGGTACACTGTAGCACTGGTTTTGACCCCCTTTTCGAAAATATTAACCTCAGTTAGCCCGTAATAGGACACTCCCAACCAAACCATTACTGATGATGGATGATGTCCATGTTGCACCCTTGGAACTTTATTTTCAGCTTCTTCAGAACTCTTAGCGTACACTGTATAATTCTGTTTATTGTACTTCTCTTCAATATCGAAAAATTTTTCGTCCGTAAAGAGGATATCACGGTGTCGGTTTTTCGCGTACCGCTTAAACAACACCCGCGATCTCTTAAGTCTTATTGCTTTTAGACGAGCATTAAGTAAGTGCCCACTCTTTTTTTGTATGCTCGTAGACCAAGATCTTCATTTAAAACCTTTTTTACTGTTTTCCTACTGACACCCATCTGCAAATCCATCAACTTCTGTTTTCGGACAGGATTTCTTACTATCCGCGCCTTGATAGCTTTGATTACTGCTGGTGTTCTTGCGGAGCGTGGCCAGCCAGTTCTTTTCTTGTCCTCAACACTGGAGACTTCAAGGTACCTATCAATAGTACCGTACACAAACCTAAGCGTTATATTCAAATTTTTGAGCAACTTGAAAATGGTACTCGGCGAGTGTCCACAGCGGTGCAACGCAATAACAACTATTCGGTTTACTTTCAATGTCCACTCCATCGTGAAAAATTACGGAAAGTTATTGTTTTTTGTTTTAAAACAATAATCAAACATTCCAAAATAGAATGCAATAATTTTTTTATAAAATCCTGCTCGAAATGTAGAAATAATGTGCTAGTGACAGAACTTTGGGACCAACTACGTATAATACTACCCTGATTAAAAATATTGATTGAAAAAAGTTCAAAAAATTTACTACATGCAAATTATAAAAAAAAATTTTTTTAATATTAATTAAACATACTCTGGACTGAAATTTACTAGGCAACCCATATGGATTATATTTATTGACATATTAAATTAAATATAAAATAAGTTTCATTAAATAAGCATCTCGGTGAAGGTCGTTGTATAGCGGGATCTTATACTATGAGCCTTCATTAACCCTGAGTAAATAATGTCAAAAATCCGTTTTTTGCCTTCAATAGCTTGTTTTAACAGGAAACGGAAGCGAGTATACAACCAGTTATGTCTGCCGCCCATAGACACGCAATACAAAGCCCTCTCCGTCGGCTTTGCGTTCTTCAGAATTATTAAATACATGATAAATTATGGACATCATGTAACCAAAACATTTGACTAAGTTCACATTATTTGTTCAAAAAAGATCTAAAACAATCGGATTCTGTAGCCGTAGCTGTGGGTATTTCCTAAACATACGAATTCATAAATTTCTACTTAACCAAATTATTCCTGATTAAAAAGGTATATTGGTTCAAAATAAAAGGTTCACCGTAGCTAGTTTCACTTCTTGGAAACTTATTGTTGTCATTGAAATTAGTACTTCAATTGTATTAGTAAATCGAGTCTTAAAAAAACAATTCATAATATTTACGCACACTCAAAAAGAGCACATCGCTTGAATACTTGCAGAACCTGCGCAGGAGCAGCCCGAACAAGAAGAGGAAGAAGACTGTGAAGAATAAATTCCTGAATTAATTTTATGTAAAATTGATTTTTTATGTAGGCAAATTTATTATAGAAAGAAGCCATAATTTAATGATGTTATTAAGATTTTAGTATTTTCGGTACAACCTGCGCGGCCTGAATTTTTTAAGTGTTGTTGAATACAAAATAATGTTCTCTAATTTAAGGATTAGTACAATAAATTTTGTTATTGTTTTTATTCTCCTTTATCAATTTATTTAGGTATATCCAGAAATGAATGACTAAGTATGATGTTAAACGGTGTAAATTTCTAGACCGTTACGTTCATGCAAAAATTGATTTCGGAACGGATTTCAAAAACGTCATCACTACTATCCTGAATATTATGTGGTCTGAAGTTGCGAAAGCTTGTCCGATATGACAGTATCACTAAAATTGTTAGAAATATCTTTTACCATACCTGGTCTCGACATTCACTACCTATATAGTCAAAGTACTTTATGATCTTCACAACTTCTGCATGCAATGTAATATTGTTGAATGAAGAGTTAAGTTGTAATTGCCTTACTTTGCGTAGGATTTCAATGTCTTGCATTACCAATAATTCAAAGATCTATTTTCTCATTCATTGAATATTTGACTGCAGCTCAAAATAAAAAACAAATATCCACATACAAAACACTATATTTATCAAAACAAACTTGACTCACATACAGAGTTTTACGACTTTAACAAATGATTATATTTACAAACTTAACATGTAAGTTACACAAAAATATTGAAACCAAGCAAATACGTTTTTAATTCATAGAGCAAAGAGCAACCAATTCGATGTATAGAAAATTAAAACATTGAAAAGAGTTAGCGACGGATCATATCGCGAGTCTTTGATTGGACTATGAACCTATTACGTCTTTTGTTTTTCATTATTACCAAATGTATTTTGCATATAAACATATAATACTTCGGCTAAGTTGGTTTTTGTAGTCAAAATACAAAAATATCCGCGTAGCTTTGTCTTACCTAAGATGAAAGTAAATTTATGTAATACTGTTTTAGTCAGTAAACAATTTAAAGAATACGGTAACTCTAATGTAACTGTATAACCAAACTCAATTTTTTTAGAGTTCTTTAAATTGACAGAAATACGATTTACATAAAACTATAATTTTATATATTAAAAAAATCACGCGATTCTTGTCTTCAAATACACGAAATAAATGTCAATAAGACCTCAACCTTTTTGACTAGGTCGATCACACGATATTCGAAAATTTATTACAAAAATCTTGTCAAATACTACAAAGGACACTTATTGGTTTTCGATTATATTCTTAGTTTTTAGATCGGTAATACTATCATTTTTTGGCTCTTGAGGTAATTCACACGGTTTCTCACAAATTTCATTGACATCTCCATTAGTACTTTCATGAATATCATTACTCAATTCCGGATTTTGTGTTTCTCCTTTAATTTCGTCACTGACAACTTCTAAGTCACACAGATTGATATTTGCCATATTAATAGCTTGTATAAGACTTTCCATAGTTTTACTATCAATTTTTTCATCAGGGCTATCTCTTGTTTCAATATTTTGTATTTCATCATTTTCTTCAGCTTTTATTTCGTCTACTGCTTCTACATTTTCTGGTGTCGCATTGTCTACTGCTATTGTTTCATTATTCTTTACATTTTCATTGTTTTCCTCTGATTTCTGTTCATTTGTTACTGTTTCCGTATTTTCAGCTGCCTTTTGAGCTTTCTTTTTCGACTTTGATTTCTTTTTGGTTTCTGGTTTCGGTGATTCTTCCTTCTCTTCTTTGTTTGTTAATGTGTTTAGTTGGGTCTGCAGGTGCGCCAGACTTTGTCTTAATTGGGCACAGTTAGCTGCCATGGCATCAACCTAAGGAAAATTATTAATAATATATAAATACAATTATAAAACTTAAAATGAGTACTATCTAGATTATCAAATAAGCTTTTTAACAGTTATTTACATTTATAAAATATTGCTTTAGCATCTTTTAGTAAAATTCTACATTTACATTAGTTCTACAAAAAAAAACTATATATCAAAATCGTCATAATCAAATAGATAATATAACTAATATAAGGTACCTTTGCATCACTCGCAGTTTGCGCCGGCGGCGGTACGGGCGGTGCTGGCGCGGGTGTAGGCAGGGGTGGCCTTTCAATGTTATTCTCCTTCAACGTAGTCAACAATACTGTGCGTTCCGCCTGAACAAATATAATGTTGATTAATGAAGTCGCCGGGGGTACTCACTTTTCCGTATAGGTTAGCAAGTTGGATTGAATTAAGGAAAAATAGAAAAGGCCCATGCTCAATTTATAAACTGAACATTTCAGTGAAGAAATCAGAGCTTACCTGCAGAGTTCTACATAATCCCTGCATATGATGCAAATGTCTGTTGGCTGCCACTGCTTTTTCTTCGCTTGCTTGTCGTTCACCACACATATCCAAGAGAGCTGTCTGTGATGTCTCCCAGCGTTTCTTCCATGATAGAGATTCCTTCTCCAATTTTTGAATCTTTTTGGACATCTGGAGTGACATAAAACATTTTAAAAATAGGTATAAGATTTGTTGTGAAATACGATATAATATGTATAAATCTTATTTGGACTTGAATTATTTACTCAAAACATTTATTATTTATTTTATGGGCAGAAACATACTGTTAAATGTTTAGGATGCCTGGGATATCCAATTAAGATTTTTTAACTTGAATTTGGCAAATTACATAATGAAAACATTGCCTAAAATGGGCTGGTATGGTATTATAACACAATTGTTAAATCATAGAGATAATCGGCTTAGCGCATAGCATAGACCTAACGCTGTTTATAAGGCCCTAGTACTAATCACAATAGTATCACTGATTAGGGTGTGACTGCATAATAACAAATATAATTCTCTGTAAACACTGTCCTTGTTTACAAACATGTAATTTAACCCTTTATTAGAGAGTCGCGCGAGTGCAAGTATAGACTAATCACTAAGGTATTATGAAATATAATTGGATAAATTCTATGAAGTATATAGAATCTTTCTAAGAAACAATAACATTATTCAACACCATTTTACCTTTTCCATCTGCTCCTTAAAACCGCCGAACACTTGATTACTTTTAACAAGTGCATTTTGGAACTCGTCATATTTATCTGTGTACACTGCTAATTGACCCTTTAATGCAGTTTCAGTTCCCTGGAGCTCCATAATCTTGGCTCTATACTGGGCTAACGTAACTTTCATATGTTCTGCTTCAGCAAGTAAGCGCTCCTTCTCTGCTTGATGTTCCAGTGCGGACTTTTGAAGCTTTGCATCTGATAATTGAGATTCTAATGCCATCTGTTTTGCCATTTTATCTACCTAAAAAGAATATGAAATAATAATGATTAACTATACTCAAATGAAATACAGCTTCACTAGACTGGAATTTATGAGTATAATTGACTAAATGAAGAGAATGTTTTAATGTAACTACTTTTTTTATCAACATGTTGTATTTAAATTTAGGTACGTTTAAACCTGCCATATTGTGATTGCTAAAATATAATCTTTTGTTTGTGATGTCTTAAGCCTATGTCAATTTGGCACACACAAGCTATATTTGAAAACTTGTGTGCCACATATATATAGAAATGCCTACTACTCAAAGTGGCAGGATTTTTAGCAATAAAATTTTACCAAATGGGTTACAACCCTGTGCCTCTAGAGCATTTGATAAGAACAGTTAACATTAACATTCGTTTAATCAGTGTTTGATGGCGAAAAATTAAATTTTTATTTAATATCTTGAGTAAAAATTTGTAAAAGTTGTGTTTTTAATAATGGCAATAATAAATTATTATTGTCTAGGAATAGGTAGTAGGTTAGACAGTGTCTTTTTGTCTATAAGAAGTGCTTGCCGCTGCCATATTTTAGACATTATCACAGTTCTATTTATACCTGTTGTTCCCTTAATTGATATTGCTGCACAACACTTTTAAATTTCTCAGTCATACTAATATTGTCATCTCTAAGTTTAGCATTTTTCTCATTATTCTGTTGCAATAATGCTGTTATCTCTGATAATGTGTTTTGAAACTTTGCCTGAGTCTCCTTGCGGCGTTCTTCTTCTTCACGAATTTTGAGAAGTGACTCCTCCTAAAATTTTAATAATATAATGTCTTTATAGGAAAACTTACAATATGGTGATTTAAATGCTTACCAACCAAAAGTATTCTTGTTTACCTAGCTTACATGGCAATACAACAAGGATAAAATTGGTTACTTAAGTCTTTTGTTTTTCTTCTCTTTTTTATAATGTCACACAACTGATGAAAATGTCTAATTAGTAAAATCTATTTAGTAAGTTTGAGTAATACTCACTTTGATAGCTTTATTATGTTTTTGTAACTCTCTACATAGATTTTCTAGTTTTGATTTAACTAATATTGTCTTGTTATACTCATGTTGCAGCTGATCCTTCTCTTTAACCGACAATGCATACCGTTTATCTGACTGTTTGATATAGAACTGCATCTTTCTATTTTCATCTGCTCCTTGAATATATTTTTTGCAGACAAAGGCTAATTTTTCTTCAATTGTTGGGATGGAATTCAAAGATTTCATGAGTTGCTCCATATTTTTATCATCCTGATTAAGGCGGTCGCCTTTTTTCGATTTTTTTGGAGGATCCTGAGATGGTATACGTTTTTGCTAAAAATCCAGACAAAATATATCAGAACAAAATCTTTAGCAAACATTACCGAGTAGATTTACTATTACACAATCGTGATGAGAGATATTATATCCTAAAATTATTTTCTTTAACATAAGAAACGTGCTCACGAACAAAAATATCGTAAACACTATCTTGGCGAAATGCCAATAAAGTTGAGGTTAACTTTACAATAGAAAATCCTGTATTATGGAAAATAAATACTGTGATAAATCTGAATTTATTTATTTCATTTACCTTAAAGGACATGTTTAGCATGTAAATTAAGTAGTATCGCTCGCAAAATTTTCATGAAATAAAAGACCGATATTTGATAGGTTTTGAATTCTATTTATAAACCACCAATATAAGTTTTGAATTTACTTACTTCCACAACATTTTCTTTTACAGAAGGTTTACTGTTTTCTTTACTTAGTTCGTCTGTAGCTTCCATTTTATCTAGTATAAAGTATTTCTGTCTTGAATCGTTAAACAGTCAAACAACGAAAGTTACCGTAGGAACGTCCTAAAAATAGTAACCAGTGAAAACTATCGAATATCGATAATTGTGTACGGAATCGAGTAAAGCTTAATAAAAATATTATGTATTCGAGTCCATATGTATTGAAATTTTTTCATGCATTTTTTTTTCATCGATCATTTGAAATCTGGATCTGCGGATCGAATAGAGATTAGAGTCTTTGCAAGCCATTACATGGCCCCGAGGATAAAAACCTATCCTTACGTTGGATTACTAGGCATGTTATCTAAAATTTCAATTCCAATATTTCAAATTTTGGCAATTTTATGAATGTAGAATAGAAATGAGTTTCATATATATAGATAGACATTCTTGCTATTTTCTGCCAGGCTCTTATTTATTTATTTTATTTATTATAGCTGATATCGAATTTAGACAACGTTACCTGATTATAAAATCGATTAGTCGATGCAATGTAATGGCAGATTGTACATCAGGCGTCTTCATATTATTTATTCTTCCAAAAATCAAGCTGAAAAAAGATTATAGAATATTAGAATCATGATATTGCGATAGTTCCTTTATCACAATTATTTTTAAAGAAGTTTATAAATTTCTTTTCATTTTGTTTTTAAATTATATTTACAAGTATCTGTTACTTTTTCAATAACTGTGATCTGTGATCTCTGATCTGCATGAATCTGGTTTCAGGCGGTTTATAATTGTAATATTGCCAGTTATTATTACTTTACCTAAATTGTTGGCACATAATCCTCCAGTCCATAGCCATATTGATAAAATAACTTTAGTAGTGGGGATAATAATTTTATGTCAAAATATATGATATTTTTCTATCTGAATAAATTGATTATTTCGTAAAGTATCAGTATTTACTAAAATTTGTATGATGATGACGATGATAAGTGAAACTCAACCTGTTTTATAAAAATAAAACAAAAATGAACTTGGTTAGTAAAGGAGAAAAAACTGCTATTTATAAAATATACTAATAGCAACACTAACGAGAGTACTGTCAAATGTCAAATACTGCTTGCAGTTTTCTCATGTTTTAATTCAGTCTCTTCAATTCAATTGACAATTCCGATATTTATCAAAAAGAAGGAAAGACGTTGCAGGTGAGTGATTATTTAATAAAATAAGTTTATTTATTCAACGTGCTCCATAGTTTAAGAAATATTACTTTATTAATTGTGCCTTAATATTTGTGAATTGCGAAAAATTTGCCGGCCGGATACCATCTGCTAAGGCCGTTATTTTTCAAGAGTTGAGGTCAATGTGCTTAGTCTGAATAGCGTTAGTTGAGGTTTTACACATTTGCAAAAATTGCAATATTGCTTTGGTTCTTAATTAATCACATGATGGAAATATGTACTTTACACTTTATCGTGGATTTAATAAAGCCGAGGTTTTTTTCCGAATTTTATTCTTTGTTCACGTTCTTTGTTGTCGTTAAGTGAGTTCCTAGTATGATTTAATTATTTATATTTTTTTAAAGATTGCTTTAGTTGCATAGGACGATCAATTGCATATATAATGCAATGTTTTCATTTTATTGTAATGTTAAATATTGGATGTTGGTTACATGATTACATAGTAAGTGAAACAGCAATGATTTGCATTGCTGTTCAAAAAGTTTAGCAAATCAGATAATGTTATCTTTATTATCAATACATTATGGTAGGTTTCGTTTGTTAATCATACTAAATGCTATGGTATTAATAAGAACATTGAATAGAACAAAGCAAAATATGATGTTGATGTTCAAGTGGTTCTTGTTTCAATTTAAATATTATTGGTAAAATTTTGTTTTTAAATTTAAGTCTTCTCTACAACAATATTGGCTTAAAACTATTACAACTTAACTCTATTTAAGAACTATTTTTACATACACTTTACCTGAACTATAAATATATGCTTGGATTGCTTTTAATCTATTTCAGTCTCGAATCTCGACAGGTGTTTTGTATTTAAAATTTTTTAAAGGGTTTCATGAATAATATACTACCTTGTCTTATAATGGTTTTGTATTGTATATCAATGGATACTATTTTTCTATGACACAAGACTAGACAATTTTATTTCTAGTTAGCCACCAGCCTCTCGTCCACATTGAGATTTTTTAAATGAATCAAAAAAGTGAAAGTGGATTTAATGAATAAAATTTTATGTATATTGTTTGATATTGATGTCTTATCTATTTATGGTAAATTCATAAGTTTCTGTGTATATAATCAAAACATTTCTAATAGTTTAATAAATGCGTTCCTATACAAGTTAAAGAGAATACAATATGAACTCTAAAGTATTAATAAATGCTTAGCTGCTATGTGGCAGAAATTTCTACATTCAACACTAGAGCAACATAGAGCTATTAAGAGAGTAAATTGAAAGATAATATGAACATCATTCTGCTAAAAATATTCCATTCCTATAATGGTATATCAACATGGGTGGTTTGTACAAATACCCATACCAATATACCACTAAATATAATCATTGGTGGCAATCAGTTTATTTATTTATATATTTATTAAGGAAACTAAACAGATATGTCTCTATACAGTAAAAATAAAATAAACACATTGGACATATTATCCACAAAAAGCTTCACTGATAAAAAAAATATAATAGAAAGTTAAACAAGATAAATTAGGAGAATGACAAACAAACTAGTAGCTATAAAAAAACAAGGAAGATACAAGGCTTAAGACATTAAGAGTTTTAACTTATTCTTATCCCAACATGGTTTGAATATGGGGGTGTAGTCTCAATAACCATGTCAAATAAGCATTCTGCAAATTAACAAACAATAGACTTTGCAAAATCCATTACAACAGACAGTATGGGCAGATTAGCACATAGATTGGCTGTATCGATACCTCCTAAGTATACTGAGTCATCTAACAAATTTAGGTATTTTGTTTTTTTATACAAAAGTACATAATAAACCATGATCTTAATGTTAGTGTTATTTTTTTTTAAAAAGACCTATAATTACCGAGATAATTTCACGTATACTAAATCAATTTCAACATCAGTTAAAATCGTACATTGTATACTGATCCAAATAACATTGTATCAGTGTTCGCGGGGCGTAAGGAGGGACGCATTGATACAAGTTTATTATGGCTCAGTATACGACAAATGACGGCGAGGGCGCGAAATTTTTTTAATTTTCTCAATAATAAGGTGAATAATACTAATGATACAATTAGCAATATCTCAGGAATCGGTGATATAATGCAAAACAGGGCTGAATATGGTAAGTTACATTGATATACTTTATTTATGTTACATATAGTGTGATTTTGCCATTTTTGTTTGATAATTGTTACACGTCGCTTAGTACGCCGTATACTGATACAACTATATTTACACCTGTTTACAACGAACAAACTTTATAAAGAAGACACTTGACTTATCTGGCTATAATAATGTACTAATTAAATTTTTGATATATTTGTTTTAATTGTGGTATAATATATTTTTTTATGTGTTATAAATTTTATATCTTGATATTGGCACGTTAAATATAAAAATATGAATTCTTGTGTTTTTAATTGTTGTTTGTTTTAGAGTCTCCATTGCCACCGGATGCAAATTGCTAATTTATGGAAGATTTATGGAAGATGCAAATTGCCAAAAAAAATTGCAAATTTATGGAAGAGGAGCTATCAATACTTGATGATATTGATTAGAATGATAGCAAGGAAGTATCGCAGAATATCCCTTCTAATGCTTACATATTATTCCTAGATTATATTATTCTTTGCTCTTCGCCTTGGGTATCGATTGTTGATAACTGAACTCAAAAAGGAGATCGATCGCCATCAGTCATAGAGAACACTCCAGGTAATTCGCCCATCCAGAATAGCATTATAGAAAATTATTGTGATATTACTCCAGTACCATCGCCGTATAATTCTTTTGACTCATCTCCTGTTAATTTCTGACATTAATGATATCACATACTCATCGTCCAATAACGCCAAAAGCGCATTTCCATTGCGAAAAAAGATAAAGAAAGGCTAAGAGTTTTCATAAAAAATGTATGGATAAGGAGAGGAAATATAAGCTTAATAGAGGATTGGAATATGTCAGTAGAAACGGAAGAGTTCATGCTACGAGAATTATGAAAACTTCTTGCCCCTCAACTTATGGAAAAAATGCAGTGAGAAATTAACAGAATGTTTTGGATTATTGGACCACTCAAGACAATGGGTTTTTTGGCAAGATATGCTGTAAAAGCTGGAAAAAAAGAGAAAAAATATTGTCGATAAAAAAGGAGTGAAGGAGATAATATTGAGACCACAAAAATATCGGTTTGCAAAACTATGTTCTTGAGAACTCTTTCTATTAGTTTTGATTTTGCTTATACAGCTTTAGAAAAGTCCGATAAAGGTAATGGATTTATTAAATCAGATCAGCGTGGTCTTTGGATGAACATATTATAATCCATCCGATGACGTTCACAGTGTTATAGATCACGTTGAAGCATTTTCTCCTGTAGAGTCACATTACACTCGCCAAAAATCAAGTAAAAATTATCTGGAAGGCTTTTTATCCTTCCCAAAACTGTTCATGAATCGAATGGTTTATGGACTACCGTGAGACAATATCGAGATATCTATATATAGGTTTTATAAACCCAAATAAGATTTTTGTGAACAATGTCACATTTATGAAAATAACAAGCAAGTTCTACAGACAGATAAAGAAAAGCATGAAGAGCATTTAAAAAAAAAGAGAAAGCTAGAAAAATTAAAACAAAAGATAAAAAATCAGCGTTACAAAATAATGAAATCCTTACATCAGCATCTGATCTTCAAAAGTGTCTTAATGTATGTACCTCACGAGAGCGTGAGTACTTTTTATTATAAACGGAAACATTATTTGTATAATTTCACGATATTCATTCTGGGATCTCGCCAAGGTGATTGCTTTTGATGGTA